ACATTCAAACGGTGAAGTTTGAAATGTTACCTTTGATTGATTATCAGAGTACATTAAACGCTTAATTGTTTCTAATCTCCTCCTGCTTTTTCGTTCAAGTTTTGCTGAGGTCGTTACTCCCGACGTTACAAATAAATTCGTGAAGGAAGCGATTTTTTCGCCTATTGCGACTAGATGATTTGCCAAATGATCAAACATTTGAAATACCAGCACAATTTTCTCAAACAAAGAGAAGTGAATTAGTTATTATATATGATGGCTATAAGAAAAAGTATGATGAAAGATTGTTATTATTTTCAACTGATGAATTATTGCAACACTTATGTGAAACAGAATTAGTTCTAGTTGATGGAACATTTGCAAGTGCACCAACTGGCTTTGAACAATTAGTTATTATTATGGGCCTCATCAATGATGAAGGTAAGCAAATTGAAAAGACCTAAGTTCACTTAGATTTATTGAATTTGATCTTTCCTTTTTTGTTAAATAGGCGTTCCATTGGCTTGGGCACTAACTAGTAACAGAAAGCAGCAAACTTATGATAAGATTTGGTCTGAAATAATTAAGTAGTCATTGAAGAAACAATCACCAATGAAAGTGAAACGATTCATTCTTGATTTTGAAGTAGCTCAACGTAATTCAATTGAACGACATGTAAGTGTATATACAGTGTTTCTTGTATTTGATCCTTTCGATTTCTCATATTACTCAAAATATTCTATCACCGTTGTGTCTTTTTCATAGTTTGTAGGAGCCGAAATCACTGGATGCTGGTTCCATTTTTGCCAGTGTTTGTTTAAAAATATTGGACAAGTTGGTTTAATACCCAGTTATAGAGATGATGCAGCGATTAGAACATGGCTTAGATCATTTATGACTTTACCACTTGTTCATAATGATATTTTTCCATATGCAATTGAATATTTACAAAGTCATCTTCCAACTGGTTCAGATCAATGTCGCAAATTTCTTCGTTACTTCGAATTTCAATGGCTTGTATCTGTTCCAAGACAATATTGACATGTGGGGAATTTAATTCCAAGAAGTAACAACTGGATTGAAAGTAGTTTACTTTGTTTCTTTAACGAGAGGGGTTTTCTAGCTCAAGTTAATACCATCTCGTAAGTTAACTTTCATTTCTACTTTCTTCTCATTTTAGGATATAATAATCGTATTGGAAATCGATTTGGTAATCGTCCTAATATATGGTTGTTTTTGTATCGTTTATTAATTGAAGAACAAATAATTGAACAACGAATACAACAACTTATCGTTGGTAAAATTCAAACAAGTGACCAGAAAATGATACAATAAGTCAATCAATATCAAATTTGAATAAGAAATATATTAATGGAAACTTAGACATTGAAAAATATTTGAAGGCGTGCACATTTTTGATTGGTAATGCTGATGTTGGTAGTACCAACGCTAACAAAATGGTTTCATCAACAGCAGCTACAGTAAGTCCAACAACAACGCCACCAAAGAAGAGAAAACCTGCAACTAAAACATAAACAGCAGGAACAACAACAACAACAACTCTCTTTTCGAACGAATTTTTTCTTGTTAAAAAAAATCATGTATGTTTACAGTAGACAATTTTTTAATATGTAATTTAACTAAATTTTGATTTCCAAGGAAGCGACAACTTATAAACCATAAGCGAATAAAAATATATATTCCAATTCATAGTTTCATAGCCATTTCTGTCAATTGGCAGAAAATCATGAGACATGCTGCCAATTACCGCGATCTTTTGCCAATTGGCAGAATTGTTCAAGACGCTCTGCCAGTTTTTTGAATTGGTAGAAAGGAATTGGCAGAAAGGATTAATGCTATCTGGCAGAACTGCATCGGGAAGAAACTGAAGCCTCTGATGGCTTCACTGGCACTTTAGCTTTTTGTGGCGGTGAAACAACTGATGCATCTCGTTCCATCGAAGATGCATCTCGCTCTGTTGAACTGCTCAGATGAGGAACAGCTATTTTCTTACCTTTATCTAAGGTAATTACCCGAGACATATCGAATTCAGATAAAGATACGTTCTCAGGTGTCTTACTTTTGCACCACCACCGTCGTATGATTATATTAGGTCTTACGTCGTGCTAATAGGCTATGTCAAAAGCTGATGTTACTTTGAATCAAAGCTGATAAGTAATGAATGAATAATAACAGTATACTTCACTAATAATTAATTGTTCAGTAAAACGAATAATCGGGCTGTTCCTGTTGGTCTGATCTTGTACAATAAAAACTAGATCAAAATCTGGGTAGGACCTCCAATTTGTGGTGCTCGTTAGGCCCTTTCTAACAGCTTCACAAAACAACCTCCAGATCAGTTTTCCCAAACAGTAACAATTATTGTTTTCACAACAATTAATATTATTTACAAAAACAAATATACGACAGTAATAGTAATGTAATTCTACAACTAATAAATGAGAAATGTTTTTGTTGAGGGTGGTGATTCCTTCTCTTGTAATTACTACTTGTTCGAAGAATATGTAATGCAATATGTAACGGTTGATACGGAGAAGGAGAATCGAAAACTAGCGGTCGAAAACAAGTATTGCAAACGAAATACTAAATTATAAAAATATTAATATAAATTAAATATAACATTTAATTTATATAAACTACTAAATTATAATATTAAAACTCCTGCTTCCCCGTGTATAAGAGAAGAAGAAGAAGAGATTTGAATTTGAGAAGAATGTTTAAGAGAGACGTTAACTAGAAGATTAAAGTTGAGAATAAGAGATCTGAATTTGAAGTTGAAAATTGACTAGAATCCCAAAAAGTTTTAAATTCACTCCTGATTACAACTCGTCTTTCGTGTAACCGTGGAACAACGAATATAACTGTTGAAGCAAATTATTGTTTCATATTTATTCATATTTTTAAGATGAATAAATATGAATTAATTATTTCATTCTCTCTCTTTCTAAAATTCACCAAATAAATAACGTAAAGGGAAACAAAAATCTCGAACTAAAGATTAAGCAAAAAGACACAGAGCTACATTATACTAGCGTAACTTCGGGTTCTTAGAAATAATATCGCTGTGTTTGACGAGGAGTAATGAAAGGTAACGGACATGGCCGTTACAGGGGGTGAAGATTCCTTAAACAGAGTGGGACATCGGGCGAGGTTCTCTCGTTAACGATAATAAATATGCTCATAGTACAAATACAAAGTATTTGTTGAAAGTATACGAGTAAACGTACAAGTACTGTTTTAAAGTGCAAGTACTTTTACTTGAATACTTGTACTTGTCCATGCTCTGTTCTATATGCCTAGATGTCTAAACTTTTCTTTTCAGTTTTCGTATTTTCCTCACAATAAAAGCAAAGAGAAACGTTTGGCATTTATTCATATAGAAAAGAGAACAAGATATCTCTTATTGGATACGGCTCTACTAAAAAGGTGTGATATTGTACTATATTTTATAGTATCTAATCTGATGAACAGTAGAGAACGAAAAAACATGATTATCAGTATAGATCTTTTAGAATTAATTAGCATGGAAAAGAATCTAACGAATTAAAATGCAGAAGTATCTTAATTAATTCATATCCGAAGAATACTGTAATTTATCAGATCAAAAAGATTAATCAATCAAAAGATTAGTGAATCGAAGATTTTGCTTTATAATTATGAGTATAATTAGGTTTTATGGCTTAGAATTATGATGTATCAACTGTAAGTATTTAACGTTTTGTGATTTATGCAGTATTTACTTAGATGTACAACCTTTACTCTTGTATAAGACAATTACATTGTTGCCAAATAGACATGGTTGCATATTGTTTGTGTTGTATTAGATTTGTGGAATGCATGATCAAAAAACACAGTGGAAAGAGTTCTGTATACATCTAATAATAATTACGTCTAATTTCAGTTCACTTCTCTGCCTCTTTTTACAGGTGCATTTTGCAATGGTAATATGTGTCAATAGATTTTTGAGATGGTATGATATGATATTAGATTTTACGACCGTTACTCGTAGTTGATTTGAAACTATTTCTCATTGTTATTAGTCTTGAGGAGAAGGAAAAGAATGTGTCATCTTTTAAGGTACTGTTTGCTCTTCTGAAAATATTCAACACATCAGACAGTATTTTGTTATCAACATAAGTGATAAATATCTGTTAGTATTAGTGTTTAAACCGAAATTTTGAATTCACACAAAAGAGTATTGTCAAAATTTTAACACTTTTTTGAATTTCATATAGAATGAGTCAAGAAGTTAACCAACAATGATCTTCTTTGTGCATTTCTCTAGATATTATCTTACTCATAATCATTTCAAAAAAATATATTTACATCTTCTTTTACCTAGTTCTTTTAATTGAATTATCATTTTATTTTGTATCCCTTTAACTTTCAAACAATCACGCATGACTAATTACACATTGGCTACTGCTTAGTAGATGATGAGAGATTGAATCGGACAGAACAATTAGCTATCCTCTAGCTAGATAGCTGTTTAACACCTATCCTACAGAACAATATAGCAGAAAAGGTGTATATGCAATTATCTCATTATGTTTTGGGGGAGAATAATCGATCACAAACACTGAACTATAACGTTCAAGTGGTGTCATTGTTTTGTGTCATGAATCTCGCTTTCTTCGAAAAAAATCTCTCAAAAACAAACAACTTTTTTCTCTCATTTTTCCTGCTCAGAATTTACTACAACGAATTGAAATATTTATTATCAAAAATGAAAAGTAGTTTACAATTCGAAGTGCGTATGAAAAACCGACAAATCCACAAGAATTTTTGAATTATGCACAAGAGATAGAAGCACTAGTACAACTATCGTCACTAACAACTAATAATAATAATCAGTCATCAACAACTCACCCACAACTTCCGCTACAATTCCTCCGTTTGTTTCGAATCCTAATCTACTCTCATCCACACCACGCCCACCATTTCATGATAACTATAGAAATAATTATAATTCTCCTTATCCATCCACTTTTCGTTGATCCTTACAACCACAACGATATTCTTTTCGCCCACAACAATTTTCAAGAGGACAATCGAGTATCCCCGCACAGTTTCGTCCAAATCAACAACGTCCATCATTTAATAACTATATAATCCATATCGACAACGCAGTAATAATTCTTTTCGTAATAATTATCAACAGCAACATACCGCTAATGCAACAGATAATTCGATCACATTTAATGATAATAATTACGAACAACCATTACCTTCATCTACTAGTTGCGATAAATGTGGTCAAGTTGGACATGAAGCTCCGGCCTGTCCAACTTTCTAGTTCCGGAGTCATTGAAAGACGGTGTTGCCTCCGGCCAGAATAAAATAACCCATCAAAACCATCGTTAATTTTTATTACAACACTCGTGAACAATACAAAAATGCGTATATTAATTGACACCGGAGCCACAACAACGTTTATTAGCGAAAAATCACTAAGAAAAACAAAACATCATAAATACATCAGTAAAGATTCATATTCTTTTCTATTAGCAGATGGAGTGGCACCGTCCTTGGTATCAGGAATTGTAGAATTAACTATAAAATTCGGCGATCAATTAACTAAAATTCATGCATATGTAGCTAGAAATCTTTGTAACCATATGATAATAGGAATGGATTATATAAACCGCCATAATTTAAATATTAATATTAAACAACAAACCATTTATATTGATAATAACAAACATAAAGCGCAAATGGTCATTGATAAAGATTTCGATACACAAATATTTCTTGTTACATGGTCTTGTGCATATTTCTCCTAACTCTACTCAACAAACTAACGTCTCCATTCCCATTTTCTGTATTATTTCATCGTTCGTTTCTAATTCTCGTTTTATTCACAACACATCGCTCTTTATTGCACACACACGTCTTATTTTTCAACGTTACTACCTCTATTACATTGTCTAACGATTCAGAGTATCCACGTTTTATTCAGAAAGGACTTTGCATCGAATATTTAATGTGTTATCCGCCACACCAATATTGTCAACATCACTCGTGCCCGTCTAAAGGTACTTTACTTGATGAGATCAGCTTTTCTAACGCGTCACCAGTTCCGCGTAGTACCGGACAGAAGGATATCTCAATGCAAGACAATCATATACATAACACCATTCAATCACCCATCATTTGTAATACAATACAATCTATCCATCCGAAAGTTGAACAAGATTTTCAGCAGTTAGTTAGTAAAACAGAAGATTAAAAACGACATGATGGCCTACTATCACTTCTACATCGTTTTCATATTATTTTTGACACCACGAAACATAATATTGCAAAAACATCAA